AGTCTATGCAGTAGTGACCCCAGCATTGAATCCTATCATCTACAGCCTGAGAAACAAGGAAGTCAAAGTGGCCCTTAGAAAGGTATTGCAAGGTAGAAACTAAAACATTATCTAAAGAAGACCATTAAGGAATCGCCAAAACATCTAATCCCTCCCTTGCTATCCCCTTTGTTCTTCAAAAACTGTGGGCCTTAGTGATTTTCTAGCCCAGTTTCTGGAGAAGTTGACCAGGCAAGGCGTTCTTCAGTAGAACGCCTGTCAAGTGTGTTTTCCTGTGGGGGCGGGATTTGCAACAGCAGATCAACTCATTGGGTGACCAGAGATGGACCATAAAGTCCATCCAAAAGAAATGCAGGCACTAAGATGGTGGGCAAAGACATGTTTCCACCAGGGACATATTGTCAAGAGGTATGCTGTATCTTTCGCCCAGATTACTTCATCAGGAACATGCTGCTCCACTTGCATCTGGTGTTCTCCACAGTCACCCTGACCAAAGCCAGAAGTGTCTCTGGGGTTGAAACATCAGAGATATAACTCCAGAAACATAGTACATAAAACAGGTTTCTGACACAAGCATCCTACATAGCATGGCTGTATGAGCAAAGAGCTCAGAGCCTGGCAAATGTCATAGATAGCAGAGACTTGTTGAGTACTCACTGGGAGATGTGGCTCAGGAATCACTCAGAGGCTCAGGACTCTCTGTCCCTGAACATGAGCCCACGAACCCCAAACCCATCCAGGCCATGTCCTGGAGATACCCTTCCACTATTCCTCTCACATGTCCCCAGGAAGAGTATCCTGCATCCCATAGTCCCAAAGGGAGTGGACATCCACATAGGATTATGGTTGGGGTGCAGTTTTCTGGAGGGTCAAACTGAAGTGCCTGGAAAGTAAACAGTTTTTTTTTTCCCTCGTTATACTTCAAACCACCCAACTCAACTTGGATGAGCATGACCATAGGCATCTTGTCAGATCCCATACCACTCACTGCTCCATCCCTGGCCTCTGTGACAGAATCAGATGGGACCTTAAGCATCACGACACCTCAACTTGTTCCTTCAGAACCAGAGAGGGTGAGTCCCTAATGCAAGGTCTTTGAGGGTGGCCTCCAAGCATGGCAGCCAGCATAGCTATGTCCTCCATGCCTTGCAGACACTCCAATCCGTGGCCCTTTTAGGGCTGGTATGGTAGTCCCTCCTTCAAGGAGGCTACCCTAAGCTTCTTCAACATCACCGGCTTAGAGGCACACAGACAGATCAGATAATAGGACACTATGCTCCTTATTTACCACAGTGGGGAGATGGTGCAGGAGGTGGCAGTGCTGCAGTGGGAGGTTTTGGATGTTGGCAACAAACTCTTGAGATGCTCAAGATCATGTGAGATAAGGACAAAACCAGCACCAGACCAGCCCAGGCCACTACGGAGATGTCAGCTGAGGCTGGTATTCACTCTCCAGCATGGGAATCTCTATCTGCTGCTAGTAAGAGCAAGTGTCCTGCCCCTGTCATCCCTGGAGCAATCAGCAAAGTCACAAGCTGCAGAACTTGGGCCTCTTCTGCCATCATCTTCCTGTCAAGGGGAAACCACTAGGAAATAGGGTCCTGTCTCCAGGTGTGGGCAGGAGAGTGCAGTGGAGACATCTGAGGCCAGATTCTGTTCCACTGATTAGGCACACAAGTGAATTTATGCAACGAAATACAATTCCCTTCCCCCCTGCTTTAGGCCCTAAAAAAAAATTAATGCAAAAAGTGGGTGGTCCTCCCTACTGCTTTTTGTGACTCATCATAAGGATGGGTGTTACATAAATGAGGCATTAATGGACTTTCAAGATTTGAATATGGTAGAATAGGATCACTTCTCAGTATCCAAATCTGCACCATCACATCACTGTTTTCTAGGCAAGGGATCCTCAGCAAGCTGTGCTGACCTGGTTGCAGTCAAGGCAGGCCTCCCACTTCTCTAGGGAAGGATGCACTTGTCACTGGATGAGAAGAAGAGGCTCGCTGTCAGTTCCAACTCCACCGTGTCCCTGCTTGCATGAGATCATGGCCAGACTGTTCACAAAGAATTTCCCAGGCCAGGAGCATTTATATCAGGGGTCCAATGCTGGTCCCCCTGCTGAGAAATGCCCAAGGAGGAAAAGAGTCTCCACACCAACTCCTCTATCTTTGGAGACAGACATACCATGATCAATCACACCTGTTGCCTGTGGGAAGCCTCACCTCGGTCCAACCCCAGTAAGAATGACACGTCCTGGAACCTCTTCCCTCCACCCCCTCCCCCTGTCCCTTCCCCCACCTTTCATGGAGAGGCAATCACCCAGCTCCTATGCACCGACCATGCTGCATCATGACTGGGACCAGCTCCAACTGAGGCATCAAAGTGTGTTCCCATTCAAGGTATCTGATGTGCCAAGGGTGTGTCTGATTGACACCCACTGGCCACTCAAAAGCTTACTGGAAGATCTCCCAGATCAACCTGGCTCAGATTGTCTCCTGCCATTCCTCGACACAGTGTCTGTGTGCCCTCCTTCAGCTTGTTTGGCCTTGTGTTCCTGTAGGTCCCGTCCTTATGACTGCTCACCTCTGCCTCCTCCTTTCCTCCATGTGCAGCCCCTGAGGCAGAGGACGTCCACATCATATGGCTTTGATGTGCAGAATGCAACATGCCATGGAAGGCATGAAAAGCAAGAGGGACTCACTTAGCAATCACAGCAGAAGCACCTCAGGGGGGACAACTGGGTCCGCAGGGAAGCAAGGGGGATCCAAGGGGCTGTGGTGGTGCAGCTGCACCCCCGCCCCCACCTTTGACTCCTGCTCCACCCAAAGTTTAAAACCAACTGCCCACCATTGACACTAGCAGTGGCACATCTAGCCAGCAGCACTGAGGGAGTGAATTGACTTCATGGCTCATTCATAGATGTTAGGGGCTGGAAGGGACCCTATAAGATCACAAGGTCCAGCCCCTCTGCACTTAGCCAGGAAAGGTGGACATCATCATGATATTCCTGATTCCCGATTCAAATCTTCCATCTGAATAAGAGATGTAGATTTAATTCTAATAACTGCAAGACTAATGAAACAACATCTTGTGATTAGTTTTTGCCTAGTTTGTTGTCGTTTTATACCTAATATGTAATATGACTGTGGCAGGGCACTGTGGGTGCCAGCCACTTTAAGGGGCTGGAGCGGGCAGCCACCAGGTGCCTGACGAGGGCAGCCATTTTGGAGGCAAGGGCTGCCTATATAAACAGGGCAGTTTGGCTGCTGGAGGTCAGGCAACAACATCACTTGGCTGGAGGGCTGCTGAGATCATCTGGAGGTAAGGGAGGAGCTGTAGGGGATGGTGTGGAGGCTCCTGGTTCTGGGCATGACCTAAAACTGCACCCTGCCGGGAGTGGGTGGCCTGGTGGGGCGCTCAGTGGTGCGGGAGCCCCCAGGAAATGCCAGGCCAGTTACCACCCCGGTGAAAGGCGGGTCGGGGCGCCTTAACCCCTAGCCCCCACCACCGGGTGGGTAACCCCGTTTGTTTGAGGGGCCCAGAGGGCGGACCCCAGGAGAGAGTGAGGGGCTAGAGACTCGACCCAAACAAGAGAGTACCCTTGATGTGCCCATGCTGGGGCCAGGACCAGGAGGGTCAAAAGGGCCAGGGGCCCACCGCGAGGGACACCCAAGAGCCGGGGACCTGGGGTCCCGACTGGCCTGGAGGTGGGCCAGGGCTGGTAGCCCCCGGGGGTACCACACCCGAGAGGGGAAAATGGTTTCGGGGGGCTAGTAGCCCGAATGAAGGCAGAGAGGCCGTCTGATTGGAGGGATCACGGAGGGGTCCTGTTAGGATGATTCTGGGGCCTAGCGTGGGGACCGGTGAGGATGTAAACATCAAGATGCCATCTGCGAGGCTTGGGCTGTGGTACTGGGGAGGAAAGGAGCTGCAGAGAGCGCCCCCTGGCATCGGGGCACCAAAATGGGCAGCCTCCCGCTTAATTGACATCAATCAGTGAATCAATTAACATCAAGGCATGGCGGGCGAGAAGGCGGGCGGTTGGCCCAAGACCTGGGGGGCGGGCCACGGAGGTCGGCTCCGAGGAGGCCCCCTGTTACAATGACACATGAATGCACTTTCCAATAAGTGTTTTTTTTTTTGTTTTTTTTTTTTAGTTTTGCTTCAATTTTAACACGAAGAGCATAGCCCTAGCTCCCTAGCATATCAGTAAAGTTTCTAGTTCCTTTTTAACTAGAGAAAAATATGAGTGGGTCATATGTGATAGATAATGCACCACACCATCTGCATGCCCTTTGTCAAAATCCTACGTCTGTCCATGCAAGGAGGCATCTTCACTGGAGCTTAGGAGCGACAGACTTCTCAACCTCTGCCTTCGTAGTTCCAACATGACCCAAACAGCTTCAGGTGTTAGCTTTCCACCAGAAGTTTGCATGGAATAATAATATAAAATGACCTGTTAGGCCTCAACTCAGTTGTAACGGGGATTAATAAGACATTTCGAACAAAATACAAGCCCCTCTCTTGCTCCCCACTCCCCCCTCCCCCCCCCACCCCGAGATTGCAACAGATCATTCACACGCTTTTGTTCTTCTCTCAAACTTTTTATTTATCTGCCCTTCAGTTAAGACACTGGAATCTCCGCTGGGGAAAGATTTGTTGTTCACTAATTCTTGAGTGACATCAGAAACAGTGGAATAGCAGGCAGCATACCTTATGCCGTAGAACTGACCATTAAGAAATGCATTAAATATTGATAGATGGGGCCACGTTCCTCTCTCATCCACTCTGCCACTGAGAAAACTCTGCCGTTACTAGGATTTTTAGCATGAGAATGTAAACTTCTGACCTGAACATTTGTTACTGAAATATCATCAAGAAAAAGCACATGGAAAATAGTAGCAGATATTTATTGAGCATTTGGAAAGAAGATTTGCAAAGGATTATACATTCAGAGCAGGAAATGAGGCAGGTAATAAAATTATTTTTTAGTATTTTATTTTCTCTGCTTATATTGTGGAATTTTGTATTCCCCATACATAAACAGAGCCATTTATCCTATACATATCTAAACGTGTGTAACTATATATTTTATCTATAGTTTTATCTAGTTATTACTTTTTAAAATAGCAACTTTCTGTGGCATTGCGTATACACCATATTTAAAGTTAATGAATACATTTTCAATATTTATACAAACAATGGGAAGATGTTTTTTGGGTATTAACATTTCAAATATGGGCATATGCATGTTCTCTTCACTTGTTAAAGTTGTCTAATTAAATGCCTGTAATTTTAAAGAATGCTGTAGTCAGGCTGAAGGAATAATAATAATAGGAATAGGAATAATAGCAGTGGTGGGGGTGGTGATGGCATTGCCTGCAATTTTGAAAACAGGCAGCATCCTTAGAATCACAAATACCACAGAGTTGAGTTTAACATCCTGAAACAAATGGGAGAATTACATGCAATAAAGGCGTAAAATTTTTGCAGGACAGAGGCTGAAGGGAGCAAGACTTTTCTTCAATGTTTTATGGCACCTAACTCTGATAGTGATTTTAAAAATCCTCTTATTCTTGTTCCTTGTCACTATTGATAAATCCAGAATCTTTACTGTACCTTCACCTATTAATTCGTCTGTTATACATGAACTAAAATGTACATGGATCACATGTGGTCACACTCCATTAAGCAGGACAATTTACATATGCAAGATGATTCCTGTAACTTTTGGTTAAATTTAGGTGCCTGAAGGTACAGCTAGATACATAGAGACAGATCTCTAAAGATCTTTAGTTGTCTACTCCCATTGGTTTTTGAAGGGAACTAGGTTTTTAAATAACCTTATAAATTGGGAGTGCTGTGAGAATTTCAAAAGACCTGAAGCAGGGCAGGCACTGAATCCTATTTATTTCGATGGCAGTCAGCATCCCATGCTAGATGTTAAATATGTCTTTTGTGATTTTTATTTCCCTAAATTTTGATACAATGCCAGCAACAAAAATCACTTTGATTGTTGTGGAATCTTTAGGCAAAAAAATAACTTTGGGCTGGAAATAATTTCATAAAGTAAATGTGAAGACTTGTTTATCAATGAAAAGTAGTTGATACTAAATTTTAACCAAGAGAAAAAAAAATTGGACAATAGTTAGCTAAAATTCCTAATATCTCATGTTAAACTGGGACAGATGATTATCAGGGATAAGTCTGTATAGCCTAACAATTAATGGATTTATGTTTATTTACGCAAAGAGAGGATTTAGCAATTTAGGTTTAATAAGGAGCATGATTGCTTCAGACGAAGAATTTAACTGAAAAGCACAATTTTGGGACAAGCAAAATTCTTCATGGATTTGGATTAAAGCGGGCAATTTATCCCCACTCCCCGCCACCCTGCAAAATAAATGTAAAGGAAAACATGAGAGAACTTGGACACCTTCAAGTTTTTTTTAAGTAAAAAAATAGTTTTAAAAATAGCAGAGGGGCCAAAATGTAAATTAAACTTTTAAATTAAAAAAGTTCAATTTAATTTTATAAGAGAACAAAACGCAGAAAATGAAGTATGATAAAATATTACTTTCAATTTAAAACTTTTCTTTTCTTTTCTTGTGGGGACAGAGCATCATCTTGGTACATGCACAGAAACAACTTCTTTTTCTGGGTTTTTTTCCCAAAACTTTTTTCCCCATATATTTTGGTCATCAATCCTGTGATCCGGTTACTCACATAGCTGTAGTTCTAATTCCTTCAGTATCTCTGAAGATTACTCCCCTGTTTTCTACCCATGCAGCAAGTTTCTGATCCAAGCCTAGTAAAAATTCGGAAGCTCTGTACTAAAGCCAAGGAGTTAAGCCTGTATGAGGGCCTTTTTACACATTACACTCTGTTGATTGGTATTAGTGCTAGCTTGAGTTTGGAGCAGTCACACATTAATGCTAAAAACCTTCTCTGTGCCCCACCTACACAGTGGTGACTTGCCACTAGGGCTAAATACAGGGCAGGGCAGCTCTGTACTTGGGGGCAGTGAGGTTTAAATGGGGGAAGAGGGGGTTAACCCCCCCTCCCTGGCCCCAGACTCGAGCCTGGTTTTGCCCTGGGGGGCAGTACCTGCCTCTCTCCCCTACCCCTCCAACCCTTCTCTACTGGAGCAGACACAGCCCAGCCCAGCCCAGGGCTGGAAAGCATGCTGTGATGCTGGGGAACTGTAATTTAACTTGAACCACGAAGGGGTCTGGGACAGAAATTTCATAAAGTGGTTTGACCCAAATCAGTTAAGTCCGATACTACATTTAACCAGATTTATTTTAAACCAGTTTCAGTCATTTTGAAACGAGTTTATATGCCTACAGATTTAAACCAGTTTCTGAGCACTTAAACTGGTTTAGGTGTAACTTCTGTCCCTAGCCTAGAAGCCTGGCAAGGAGAGGCTGGACTAGAGCTGTAGCTGTGGGTTGCCACTAGAGGGTTGGTAAGTCAGGACAGGCTTTTATCCCTGCCCTAGGTGGGTTTGTAAGGAGAGATGGATTGGGAGGATAGAAACGTGAAGCTTAGAGGTGGAGAGTTAATGGGATAGGGGTGGGTAATGAAATGGGAGGTGAAAAGGAAATGGGGATGGGGAAAAGGTACTGAAATGAAGTCCCCCAGCCACTGAAGGATATAATAAAAAAGTAAAAATGCCAGGGTGCAAGGTTGGGCTAGCCAGGTAAAACACATGCTTGACTGAAGTGTTATCTTTATCCACAGGAAATGTATAGTATGGATGGCAGCAATGCATTCTTCCCCACACCTTTCTGCTGGCCAGTGGGCTTCAATCCTGATAGAGAGGGAAGACCTGCCGTATTTTTTATAGCGCGAAAAAACTGAGCTACTAGACCCTGCGTGGTAAGCCACCTTTGTCTCCCAAGCACTCTAGGAGGAGCTTTCAGCAAATATCCATGGCATTATTCTCTTCCTCTTCTTTTATTGATTTATTTATTTTTACCGGCTTTAATCTAGATGGAGAAAACAGTAGAAGGAAATCAAACGGCCCTCACAGAGTTCATCTTGCTTGGACTCGGGGAGCTTCCTGGGATGTACATCTTTCTGTTTGTGATCTTTTTAGCTATTTACACAGTGACTCTGGTTGGCAACATGCTCATATTGGTCACTGTCTCATGTGACCGGAACCTGCACACCCCCATGTACTTCTTTTTAGGGAATTTCTCATTCCTGGAAATATGGTATACAACATCCACCAGCCCCAAGATGCTGAGAACTTTCCTCACAGCACACGAAGCGATCCCTTTCTGGGGCTGCATTGCCCAGTTCTATTTCTTTGGATCTATGGCTGTCACTGAATGTTTCCTCCTGGCAATGATGTCTTATGATCGATTCTTAGCCATCAGCAATCCACTCCGCTACACAACCATTATGAACTTTAAAGTTTGCATGCAGTTAGCAGCAGGGTGTTGGATAAGTGGTTTCTTGGCTCCAATACCAACTATAGTTCTTACCTTCAGGTTACCATTTTGCACTGCCAATAAAATAGACCATTTCTTCTGTGACTTAGCACCAGTCATGAAAGTCTCCTGTGGTGACACCCATGTGGTCAAGGAAATCACTTTTATGCTGGCTTCTGTTGTGACTATGGTCCCATTTTTACTGACCATAGCATCCTATGTTAAAATTCTCTCCACCATCCTCAAAATCCCTTCCACCCAGGGCAAGAAAAAGGCCTTCTCCACCTGCTCCTCCCATCTCATTGTGGTGACATTATTCTATGGGACCCTAATCTTTGTTTATGCAGCTCCCACAGCCAGTCAGTCAGCAACCCTAAATAAAATGTTTTCCCTCTTATACACTGTGGCCACCCCTATGGTAAACCCAATTATATATAGTCTGCGGAACAAGGAGGTCAAGGATTCCCTGAGGAAACTTATAACTAAATGGTCTAATCATTCCCTTCCATCACTGGCCATGCGCAAAGACAAGATTCATCATGGAAATCCATAACATAATACCAGCAATGTTGTCATCACCTTAAAAATACCAAAAGACCTGGATCTTGAGTCTTTATTCACTCATTCTTTGTCCGTGAGCACATGCTTGGGAATAAATTGATGTAGCCCTACAACCTCTTCAAGAGGAGGTTAGATAAGCATCTAGCTGGGGTCATCTAGACCCAGCGCTCTTTCCTGCCTATGCAGGGGGTCGGACTCGATGATCTATTGAGGTCCCTTCTGACCCTAGCATCTATGAATCTATGAATAACGCCCACTCTGTTCCACCACCAGTGTGGACACATGATCATATTAATTCATACTGCAATGATGAGCAATGAGGAAGAAAGAGACAGATCGATGGATGGATTGATAGATAAGCAGAGATAGACAGATAGAAGGTATTCTGAATGAATGGAGAACTGATTAGATAGAGACTGGTGCCCATGCCAATGGGAGGAACTCAGCTACGCGCTTTATGGTGATGGTGGATTTCTTGTGGGCTCTCCATCTAGCTTGCTGCTTCAGCCTTTTGGCTAGGCAGAGGTGAGATTAGGAAGCATCTGAACTCAAAGGGTACCAAGCTTAGGGCTTGCATGTAGGATGCCCGCCATGGATCTGGCAGTATCTGAAGCCCCGGGGTGAAGAGTCTGGGCGGTAGGATACTTGCTGGTGTTAATGCCACATAAACTTGAATGATTGATCATAGGATTCAGAACTAATTTGTTTGATTTGGGCCAAGACACAGCATTTCAAAAAAGTTCCATTGGTATATTGGCCCAATGTTGGCCATGTATTTTATTGTTATGCTCAATGTTGGCTACATTTAATCAGCTTCAGAGTTGGTTTCCATTGCTGAGCACATGCTGCTTTTGGCAGCGATTAAATGGTAGACACTAGACAGTGTATTTAGTGAGTTTTCCTTGTATGCAATCATAAGATGAGGGGGGCTTTCCCCCATGCCAATGTGTAGGGACCTCATTTTGGAATGAAGTAAATAATGGTACCCTTTCTTGAAAAATGACTTTATTCTTCATGGGTAGTGAAAGAATTTGACTTACTTACCTGAATACAATTGTTCCTGACTTCCATTAAGAAAAAGAAGAGAAGAACATGCTCCTTGGGCCCCCACTACACATTACAGGTATTGCAAAATTAACTGGTTAATTGTACAATTACCTAGAGACAAGCTACATGTGCAAAGTAGCTATCATACAGTAAAAAGCTCCAACCAGCCATAAAGTTAGACTTAAAAAATGTGTGCTAACTTTATCCCCCCACTCTGGGGGTATAGGGAAACCCCAGGGCCAGAAGACCACTTCAGGGGCTATCCCACCTACCCCAGGGGTTTCCCGCACCCAATCAGTTGATGGGGCTCCCAGCTGCAGGAAAGCAAAATACCCAGCATACCCCCCCAGCCCTGGGACTCGGGAGTGTGGAAAACTCTGGACCCTGGGGATTCCAGCTATCACAATCCCTAGGGTTCTGGGGTGCAGGAAACCCATGTGGAGAAGGGATAGCTCCTGCAGTAATCCTCTACCCCAGGGGTTTCCCCACACCCCGAGGATCAGGGTATCACCCCTGCAGCAGTCCTATGACCCCAGGGATGTATGGGTTGCCCCTGCAGCTGGGGATTCCAATCCCAAGCTTCCAGTGCAGTGGCACTGTAGTGAGCATGTTTGTTATTACCCTGAAATAGAATAGTTTTCTGATAGCATACTGTTAGGTTAACAATAATTTGGATTATTAAGAAGTATTAGCTTTGCAGCTGAATACAAGGCATGACCTGTGGCCTAGCAAATGCCGCTGACCACAAGGCAGAATGATAGCTAAGCCTTTGCTTGTGTCAAGTAATCATTTTAACTGTGTTAAGCATTTTCTGAGTAAAATGCAGCAAGTGGATCTGTGTCTGTGTGCTGTAAAATCAGCTACAGCAAGAAGCAAGATAAGACAAAGAAGCCATTGTTCTAAGTACAGTGATCGTGTCCTTAAAAAGTATCTACTACTGTGCAAGGTTTTGCTAACGTATCATAATGTTACTGTTACTTAACTTTTAGCTTTTAAAAAGTGCTAGTTCAGCTTAATAGAAATATGCTGTTACAAAGATTTGTAAAGCACCGCCCAAGTATTGCTTTTGTTAACCCTGTCAGTCTTGCCTTATTGTAATAAGTATAAAAGATCACCTCACCCTTGAGGGGGGGCCATTTTGCCTCTTTACTGGCTTAATGGTCATTGCTCGAGCAAATATACTGCAGTAAACCTTTACCCGTGGTTGTCTGGTTCCTATGCAGCTAGACAATGAACCCCAGGGAGTTTTCTCCCACCACAGCAATAAGGCATGATGGGATCTAATGTTTGACCCCACAATCGCACCTCCTGCCATGCATGTGTGGCATGACGGGTGGCACAATTGTGTAAATCATACATTAGATCCCATCGCACCTTTAGCTTCACGGGTAGAGGGGGCCTTGGCCACCCAGGCAATTCGATTCTGTTTGATACTGAAATGAGAATCAGTCCCACTGCCTGGTTTGAGTCAATAAATTAGGTCATAATTCCCTGTAGGAACACAGGCAGTTGTTTTATGTACAAGAATTTTTCTTTGTGTCTTTTTGTTTTTGTAACTGGGAAACAGGTCACTCTTACAAGTTTTCAGACTATATAAGAAAGGAAGTAGTGTAGGCTGGAACCTTAGAGACTAACTGGTTTAGAGAGACATGAGCTAGCGTAGGTGACGGTCTACTTTGTCAGATGCTGTCAATGGACTTGGAGAAAAAAGAGTTTACAAGCAGATAAGATAACTTAATTTCAGTTACTGGTAGCTCATTTCCTATGAAGGTACAAGAAATAGAGATGTATAATATAAGACATTCTCACAGTCTCTTGGGGAAAAATAGATTTTAAAGTACCTTCTGTCTTCTGTTTTTCTCTTATTCTTCCCTCCCTTTTAAGTTAAATTTGTTCATTAATCAATCTAGGATTGAGATACAGTTTGGATTTTTTTTTTTTAATTGACAGAATTTATTATACAACATCCCATAAATGTACAGACAAAAATATTTTTGAATGCATCACTAACTTAGCATTATTTTTAACAGTGCCATTATTACCTTTCTCATATTGTTTAGTGAAGACAATTTTCATGAGAAATTTCCTTCTTCCACAACATTTTTTTTCCTCCCCCTCTCTCGAATGCGCTCATGCTAAAGGAATTGTATTAGGTTGTTGCAAGAAATGATAAAGAAGTGATGAGATCCATTATAAAAGGAAGGCTGTAATCTTTTTGCAATATCATTTTACTTCCAAAGGATGGGCAAGAAGTAAGTATCTATTTATTTCTTTGCTTGCTTGCTAAACTGATTCTTTGTTTAATTCTGGCTTTCACAAATAAAGTTTTGCATCCTAAGCATTTTACTTTGAATGAAGTATTATCGCTTCTTTTGTTACCCACACTTGAGAGGGAAGGGAGGAGAGAGAGAGAGAAGAGAATACAAATTGCTTTTACAAAATCATAAGTTTAACAGTGGAGCACATATTCCAACAATTTTGCATGGCATTTGTGGTCCATCTAGTATATCCATATTTATTTATTTATCAGCACACTGGGAAATACTGCAGTACAGAAATGTTCCTTCTACAACCAGCTACTGCAATCAATATTACTATTGGGGATTTTCTCACTAGTCTCTCCCTTAAGCATCACTGCTTTTGTTTGATCATTTTGGTACTGCAGTTGGGAATGTTCTATATCATAAGACTCAGTATTTACATTGTAGAACAGGGACCTGGGCTGCATGAAAACTACATAAAGTGGGGGGCAAAGAGTGCAAGATTTTCATACGTGCCATGGAGCTGACTCCATAGCTGCATCTACAGAAGATGCTTACTGTGCAGTAGGTCGTTACTACTGTGCAGTAACATTACTGGGCACCAGGGCTGGACACAGTCATGGGTGAACCAGGCAGCTGCCCTGGGCCTGGATAAAAAGGGGGCCTGAAAATGGGGATCTGGTCAATTCACTCCATAGCCAGTTTTCACCCTTTGTACCATGTTCTGGTACATTTTTTATCATTTTTATCCTGCCTCTACTTTTAACTATGCCTCAGATTTGGCCTCATGTTCTATACCCAGCTGTTCTCAGTAAACACAACTGTTGTAAATCAAAATGTTTTTCTACAAGTTTTCTGATGAAGGGACATATAACAATAGTTCTGACTTTCCGGAGCTAAAAGTTCCCTTTGATTTGAGGATGAGCATCATCCAGGAGAGTTGAAGGTGATCTTAATTATAGCTGGGTCAAGACTTCGGGTCTCCTGCAGAAGCAAAAAATAACTAAAAGCTCAAGAAATAGTCCTATAACAAGTTGAAGGCACTGTTCCATTGACAATGTATAGATTATAGAGAAATATTAAATGTGGAGGATTTTTCTTCCTTAAATTCTTGCTAAGCACTATGTTATGATAAAGGTTTAGGGAATGCTGGATACATTGAAGAAAGGAATTGACTATTTTATTCCACTGACAATGTGACATTATAAAAATTAATTATAAAATACCTGTGAGAATTTCTTAAATAATATGCAATTGTAAATAAATAGTTGAAACACCAGTAAAAAAAAAGAACACACAAAATAAATATATTTCTAGTCTTAGTGATTTGTATTTCCTTACCTACATATATATTTCTGTCTCCAGATATTTTCTCTCTCTACCTACATTGCACACACATGACTTTGTTTATGAAACAATGGTTCTGGTTATGATATCTAATATGCCCATGCACCAGATACATATTATGCAATGCTATTTTCCATTATTTTGCTTCTTTTAGGAAGTGCTAGAAACCAGACATGGGAGAGGACAATCAAACCATGGTGACTGAATTTGTTTTCACTGGCTTCTCCAGTCACCCCACGGCACGGATGATGCTAATTGCATTCTTCCTTATGGTATATTTAATAACCCTAATTGGAAATAGCCTCATCATCCTCTTAACCCTGTGTGATCTGCATCT